TTACAACATTGGTAAAATTATTCAAATAAATCCAAGTTTGTCCCAACCTAAGGGTGTCCCAAAATTAACGCAAGATTTCAGTTTATGATTCAATAAAAAATCACAATCTGAAGACTAAAAACTGTGTTTCTTTTTTATTTAATTCAAATCTTGCGTTAATTTTGGGACATCCTTTATTAACACACATAAAGAAATGGAAAGAAATAAATGTATTTTTTTATTAATTGCAAATTAAAAGCATATACAGTGGAACCTCTCTTAACGAGCAAAATAAATTGTAAAAATGACTTGCTGAAAAGTCTCAGATTGTGCGTCTCCTATATCATTTTGAAAACTTGTGTTATTTGTGTTATTTTTTTGTGAAAAATTTTATAACACTTGCATGAATAAAAATAACCAAAGATATGAAAAGCAAAATCATTAAAAAACGAGACCAAGTTATACTTTTTTTCCGATATGGAACGGTATGGAATTTACAATAGTTTATATGGGAAAAACTGTTTCATTATACAAGTAAAAATCCGGAAATTTTGAAAATATTATATCTTAGATCACGTCAATAGTAAATTGATTCATAATAAAATGTATGTATAATGAAAAGGTCAAAATCAAGATATTTTCTCTTGAGTGCAAAATGCAACGTTCGCCTTTTGATCTAACGAAATCAAAGAGCGAGCGACTACGTTCCATACCGAATAGAAATAATGTTTATTTTTGTTTGAAATTAATATCAACGTTTGAAGTATTCGTCACAATATATTTAAGATATTTTTCTTAAAAGAAACAAATAATTTTAAGTGGATATAAATAATACAATACATAATAGTTTAAATTAATTTAAATTATAATTATTTGATATAATAAATTCATATAAACTCGTTAATGAGATTCTAATAAAAACATCAATTTACATTCAGTAAGAAAAATGACTCACAAAATGGAACGCATTATTGTATATTACATTAGTTTATATGGGAAAAATTGTTTCATTAACGAGTAAAAATCCGGAAATTTGGATTATGCTTGTTAAGAGAGGTTCCACTGTATAAGGTAAAGCGAAAACGTTACTTTGAAACAATTTGTCACTTCAGTTATGCCTTTCAGTTATGTCCGTTTGGTATTGTTTTGAAGCTCTGTTAGTAATCTTTCTGTTTTGACATTTGTTTATGCTTGTTATGTGTTTTTACTTGATAAAGGATTGAACCGATTCGTTTCTTGGAAGATTTGTTACAAGCTTTACATCAATTCAAGGTGAAAAATGAGAAAATCTTTCATTATGAATTACTAAAATATGGTCAAACTGTCCCATTAGTAAGTTTGAATGTAAAACTGCTTAAAAAGCGATCACTTTTATGAATATTTCTATAGCATGATAATACGTAACAAGGATTACGCAAGACAAAATAAGAGAACTTTGATTTAGAAGTTCTGCTAATTTCACCATATTCACCTGATGATATTCAAATTCACAAGATGAAATGAAGTCCGAAATCATCTGAAGTCATATATTAATGGAAAAAGGCAAACACTCAAATACTTACATGACTAATTAATATTCTTGTAATAGGTTAAAATAAATAAATATTAATTAATAAAAAAATAATGTGCAAAGGACGTTCATTGCAACAGACTCAAAAAGTAAACAATCATAAATTTATTCAACAGATTTCTCGCCAATTTTTCAATTAACATGTATTCTATAAAATAGTTTTGCAGTAATTTAAAAAGGATATTTATTAAAGTAGGCAATATGTAGATTGCGTAAAATTTTCCTATTTAGATTTTATATCTCTTTTTTGCTTCTGGTATGAAGTGGCGCCAATTAAGTTAATTTGATAAAAATGCAAATTTTCTCTAATAATTAACCCGATTATACTTCGGTTAGTTTTATTTCATATTTCGTTGGTCTATGGTGGTCTATGCCAAAGCTATGCGGAACGCATGCGGCATACGCACGGAAAGTTCTTTTGCAGGCTCCGAAAGGCAGTAGTCGTGTTTCCGTGCGCCGTCGGGGATGACGTCGATATGAGACCGTGAATTCGAAGTCCTTCAGGAAGTGAGAAAAGACTTGTTTTTTTCACCTGTTGTTCGGTTGACACCTGCCAGGTGCGATTCCTCGGGATGCAGACCAACGTACACATCGACACCAAAAACTACAAATCATCACCGGAGCATCGAACCAAAGGAAACTCTGGTGGATACACCCAGAGAACATTGGAGGTAAATTGTTTTTTTATTATGAATTTATTACAAAAAAACGTTTATTTAAAATGAAATTAATGAACGTTTAAATTAATTAAAACATTGTTTAACAACTCTGAATGAGGATGCGTCAGGAATCACAGCGATAATACAAACGTAATCACGTACTTCGTGTGAGTAATTAGCGTCAACAAGTGGAAATTATTACGCGTCAAACCTCTAGCACTATCTTATTTCAATGCATTACGCGCGCTTAGTGGATGCTTTATAAATACGGCAATCCCTGTTTAATTATAATGTAAATGGGTCAACGCAGGTTGTAGACAGGTCGGTTGTGCTTCTCGAAGGAGTGCATCGCCCTGTACACGAGTAAAAATACCACCTTAAATATATCTACATGTCACAGGAAGACGAATGGATGTCGTCCAGAGAGCTCTAAATTTGAATTCACTAATTACTCAGTTACAATTAGCGATATCTTCAATACCTTTTTGGTATAGGATTTATAATGATGGTATTTGGTATTCCTTCTTTGATATAGGATTTATAATGATATATGAAACATTTATAACATATGCGAATATTCAGAGACGCATCGATTTTATTACGTAAAGTTTTTAGCCTTTGAACTGCTCTTTATTTTTGTTTGTATTTCTATATAGGTATGTCGAAAAGTTACAACTTTTACATACATTATGTATTCAGATAAAGACGAGAAAAACATTTTTCAAAAGAAACGAGTGCAACGATTTCGTCGATAACGCAGCCAGTTTTCAAGTTGGAAACGTTAACAAGAAACAATTTTGAAGTACATATATTTCATTGATAACTAGAAAATTATTATAATTAAAAAAACATTTTACAAACTTAAACATTACAAAATTGCTTTTATAGATCCAATTGGAATTATATGGATAATAATAATACGTTTATTTTGATTAATTTAATATAGTTTTTTTTTTGAACTTTAGCTTAAATTGACATCTTAATTCTATTTTTTTAATTATATTAAGATATTAATTAATAACCTGTTTTGTTACATATTGTTATATAATAATAGCTAAGAAAGTTTAAATAAGTTCATATTTAGCTAAAATTATAATCAGATGTACTTTATCTTGAATGATTTTAGTAATATTGCTTCAATATGTTGTAATAAGTTTATGTTTATAGGTTTATACCTTATGTATTTTAATGATTCTATTATATATTTTAATGTAGATGATAATAAAATCACTTAACCTTTCGTTAATTGCGCGGTGTCTGAGAGACGCCAGTGGGTACAGACCAACCCTAACTTTTAAAACTGGAGAGTGGAAACCCCGACCTATCTTCTTCATGCTAATTGACAATTTGTAAAACCATAATACGCCATTTTCGAGTAATTTTTTGAAGGATCAACAGCAAAAATATTCTTCGCAGAGTCTATAAGAAGCCACGCGCGTAAACCAATACTTTACCATTTAAAAGAGGGTAATTTTTAGTGATCAAAATATATGATGAAACGAGTAGAAATATTCTTCGCAGAGTCTATAAGAAGCCACGCGAGTAAACCAGTAATTTACCATTTAAAAAAGAGTAATTTTTAGTGATCAAAATATATGATGAAACGAGCAGAAATATATTTTTCTTATGTTATTTTGTTAAGTTTGTACTATAGTTGTTGCAATCAATATATGATGAAATGAAAATTAAACATCATTTATAGATGTAACAAAAAAGAGTTTTTAATCCAGAAAATCAACCGTATGCAGAGATTTTACGAAAATTAGCAATGGAATCAGAAAAAATAATCAAGATATTTTCTTTACATTTTTATAAAATAAACTTGTTTAGAAGCTAATATCTTTTTTCCTGAATCTAATCAATTACATATGTATATAAATTAATTACTAAAGTTATATTTCGTAGTTTCTTACAAAAGGTTAATATTTGAGTTTAAATTAATTTTGTTGTAATTATTATACAATTGTATTCATATTGCAATTAATTAAATTGTAATTATATATAAACAATGTTGTTTCTACTTCAATTATATATAAAAGGCAACATTTAAATGTAATGTAATTGCGTTGAGTGATTTACGTTTCGTATTTAATTCAACGCGCAATCCAATTTTATCTGAATTAAAATCTCACACACGACGTAGTGCATTTATTACAAGCTACATTAATAAAATACTGAAAACATAGCACACTTGTTAAATGCTTTTAATTAAATTAAAATGGATCAAATCAATGAAAAATACTGTATAAAATTAACAATAAGTTAAATTCGATGCATATTGGGAGAGGATGGATCGGATCGATTGATGAGATCTGTACTAAGGGAATTACAGTCGCACCACGTACCTCCTTCCTCCCTTCGGATGTATGCCGTTGCTAACAAGACCATTTGTAGTTAACACTCAGATCCCGAAACTTTTGCCGCACAAAAGTTCCATCCACCTACCAAAATGAATTATGCAAGGAGGGACGACCATTTCCAATTTAATCCCGTCCATGCAATCAACATCAACCACATATTTATTAGTTAAGTCCATTAAAATACACATAGTTCCGAAAACTTCTTCGGAAAATGTTTATTGTTATGCTTTTTCGTCTACCCAAAACTTTTATCATATTGGTTTAATAAACAACTTTGCTTTTTGTTATATAAC